GGGTCAGCAGAAACTAAAAACTTCAGCAAGGCGCTTTGCAAAGAGGAAGTTCTATAAAAGAAACATGAGAATTGGTATTATACAATTCTTGCTGGAAGAATAATATTCCTTCTTGTCTACTATGAAAATATTTAACTGTTAGCAGCAATAAATGTATTTAAGCTGGCCAATATCTGTGGGCTTCTGCGATCTTATGTCTTGCAGAAAGCTGAAAAAGGAAGAAGCTCCAAAAATAGACTGAAACTCATCTAAGAGCTAATGCTGATGAAGACTGATAAGCATTTAAATTAGATGTCTCCCATATGCACATTTTTATGTCTTAAGAGGAAAATATTCCATCGTAAGGTGGCATAGATATTTGAAAAAAAGTTACTGTATGCTGAAGCAAGATGGTGTTTGTAGATATTTTTTAAGAGGCTATAGAGATGTACCTGAAAATGAAAATCCTTTCGTTGTAAACGTTTTTGTATGACAACATTATAAATGATTTAATTGTACCAACCTAAGATACAAGAAAGATATGTCTTGTCTGGTAGCAAGTGCTATGATACAAAGTTAGAGCAAGACTACCGTGAGTGACACATTTTGTCCAACAGAAATTTTAAAACCAAATAGTTTTTTTCTCAATTTTTCTATTTTTGGAACTATTTTACCTAAAGTAAGTGGCAGGCATATTTTTAACTTTTAAAAAATGAAAGGAAAATCACTTGAAATAATGTACATACTGAGAACTGAGATACGTCAACCTGAAGACGTGTCCAAGTAAAATCTAGCTTCTCTATGTAAATCACACAAAGAGTCTGTAAGCGTCTATAAACAAAATTTTTAACCAGTGGGTATGAAAGAAATACACCAAGAGAAAAAGAAAGGCCAGTTTTATTGCTACATGCTATTTACCACTACCACAGTCAAATGCTTCCTATTACAGGAAGGAGAAGCAGAGCAGCTAATAGTCATAAGTAGCAGCGCAATGTTAACATTAATGGGATGTTTATTTGCAAATGTCTGCATTTAAATTTAGTACAGCAGTAATAATAGAAATATTTAACGTTGAACACTGAAGTAACAATATGTAAAGGTGTATTGCCCCCAGGACAAACTCATGGCTCATTCACAGGCCCTAGGAGTAAGGAGGAGGGCTGGGAGTTGTCCTCCCTGCAGCAGCGAGAACTAGCAAGTTCTGGGGCACCCGGGGGCAGCAGCTAAGTGGCTCCACAGCGAGACACCCCAGAGCGAGAGATGGGGGGAGATATTAAGGGAAGTCAGGTGAAACAAGTGTTTCCCGTGGGTAACGTATATACCAATTATCCCCAGGAGCACGCACCTATCAAAGTTACCCTTTATGCCCTATGCTACAGCAGAAGTCCGTATCTGTCTCTTAGTGGGACTGTGTTTCGTTAACAGAGGAATCAAGACTAAAATGATAACATTCATCTCTATGTTCTTGCCCTGACATGGTTATTCATTAGGAGTTCTTCCTAATGACTGTTCAGTTCCTTCCTTCTAGGGAGCCACTCCTAATTCTCTTCTATTCAGGTTGGAAAATGAGTCACTGACTTTAATATTAATCTTGTTTAACCCTTCCCTTACAGAACCAACATCCGGTAACAGCGTGAAGTATTTTGTGCCTCAGCGCTGAAGAGGAAAGCTCTGTAATGCCTTTTCCTCTATTACTCCCTTTTCTTATATGCAGATAACTCATTGATTCTTGCAGGTTTTCTACTGATGGTTAGTTAAAAATACACCGTCTTCAGGCCTTTGCTTAATTGCTCTCTAAATCCTTCTTAGCCTACCTGTTTTCCAGTGTAATTTTGCTTGCCATAAATTATACTTCTTTTCCATTGCCTTCTGTCTGGCCAGATTTTCAGTTACTGAAAAACAGCAATTTGGATAAAAGAAATTCTTGAAACACAGTGTTTCACTTTCTCTTTTACCCCCTTTTTTCCTTTTCTTTTGAAAAGAGAGGGTAGTGTTTGTTTATGGACAGGTGAGCCCTGCAGCATTCAGTTATGCTATGCCTACCTAACTGCATGGGAAGCATAACAATTTTAACAGCCTGGTTTCCATTTTGAGGTACTTTTGACTAGTTTTCCTCTTTACAACAAAAGCTCAAAGTAAACTGGGAGATATTTTATTTATACATGATTTGTCATGCCTAAAAATACTGAACTTAAATATCCTGTGAGATAATTCATGATTCCAGTATTGGTTTCCTACTGAATCAACTATTGCTCACTTAAGACGAATCTGAGAGCAGCCTGTTCTGAATACAAGGTGTGTGACAGGCAGGATAAAGAAATGAAAAAGGCATACCTTAAATGTGTATTTTGAAGAGGGGAAATACAAGTTAATAGAAATTTTCTAAGTTAAGATTCTGAATAGCAGATCACAAGGGTACATTAACTACCTTTTGGCTGTTCTTGATCAAACTTAAGTTGTGTTTTTTAGTTGGAGTGTTTATTATATGCAGCAAGTTCTAATCATGTGCTTTTTACACGCTACAGGTGTGGTATTCTTGTTCTTCTGACCAAGTTTTGTGCATCTTTGGATATACAGAATTATAAAGTCCTTTCTCCTATTTCCTTGTCTTTGCAGTATTGGTCCACTATCATCTTTTCTATGTCTTTAGAGTGTTCTATTATGCTTTATTATTTCAATGTTAACCTGCAACTACTCTTACAGGAAAATCAAAAAAGTGTAAGTGAAAGCTAGTTTGAAAAAGCTCTGTTTGTTTACTTAGGAAACGATGCTCTCCGATTATTACAAAACAAATTTTCGAGGAAGACATTTATATTTTTCATTATTTCCATAGCCTTTTTCAGTATTCTTTACCATCCTTACGTTGTATCAGACATGCTTGGATACAAATATCCACCAAGTAGGGTAGCGTTCCACTCCCTGGGAGCGAGCCAACCTACTCCCTAAGAAATAGCTATTCCCAAGTGGGAATATTTACTTTACGTGCCAATCTAGCCTGACTGAAATCTCATTGACAATACATTTTCACCCTGATTAATAAAACATTAACATGAATATACAGCATGTGCAACCTGACATTTTCTTGACACCTGTATAGCAGAGAACTGCTAAGATGTCAGTATTTCAAAGACAAACTGTGCGCAACTTCCCTAGCATGAGAACAGTCCAAATCTTGATCTTTTTAAAAATAACATCACCCAGTTGAAACTGAAGAAAGAAAATTAATCATTGCTGCTCCAGAAAAGAAGATTCCCCCCCTCTTTGGTAGCTTATGTTTACATTAATTTACTAGTCGTGGCAAAAATATAACTAGCCTGTGGATGGCAGGCAGAAATGTGCAGAGAGTTAAGTTTCAGTGTGTTCTCGAAGCGTAGACGCTACCAAAAGCATTTGGAAGTTTTACTGGCACTACTAAGAGATTGTTGTAGGGGAGGCGAGGGTAATTCGTTATTTTAAAATAACTGCTCTTCCTGCGATTTCCGCCAAAGGGAGCAAACAAATTTCAAATTAATGTGCTAAAAAAAAAAAAGTCATGCAAACTGCAACTGACTGTACGCCAGTTTTGATGTTATCGGGACTGGACATCGCAGCCTCCCTCGGCGCTGCGGGACGCGGAGGGCGCCGGCGTCTCCCCCCGGCTCCTACCGGGTGGGCCAAACCGCGGGGCAGCGCTTCGAGGCATCTTTCAGAAAATGTAAATACTCATAAGCTTCAAGGGAATGATAATTAAGAAAACAAACAAACAAACAAGAAAACCACGCTGCAGGTTCGCGCGACCACGTTGGCGCTCTGAAAAGCGACCTGGCGGCCGGGCCATGGCGGCCGCGGGCTGA